AGTTGCCTATAGATGGGCTTTGGGTCTCCACTCCACACCTCCACTTATTCACAATGATATGCTTTTTTTGTTCTGATGATGCCTGATACCTGATCCAATCGACATCTCATGATCACACCAGCTGGTGTGCTTTTTCCACGTGGGCTTTGTTGCTTCCAAGCTGGATGGCAGCTTGTTTACCTTCAAGCCTTTAAGACCCCAGATGCTATATCTTTTGATAGCCGGACACCATCAGCTTTCTTCACCACTTTTGCTTATGCGCCCATTTGTCTTCAGCAATCGTATCGGGGAGGTAAGCATACAATGATATGATTTTTTTGTTCTTTGATGCCTGATAACTGATCCCTTCATAACCATTTTGCCACCTTAATGAAGTATAAAAAAGTTATACCGAAAAGTTGTTTATTCTTTCACATAGTTAATAATTAAGAACAATAAAAGAGATATACAAAACTAGATTATAAGAAAGTTTTAAAATATTGACGAAAATATTAGGCAAAACCTGACAAAAACAGTAAAAGTGTTATTTAAGATATTTCCATATTGCTTCTTTTTGTTAAAATCATTTTTTTGGGAACTCGTACGACTCTTATCACAATCCATGCATCCATCCATTGTGTTGAGCACATTTGTACATTTGTTGCCATCATCATTCTCAACACATTTTCTTTCTACTGGAGCCTTAGGTATGAGCTCCTCATTTTTCCCTCCCTTCTTCACCCTCCCTCCCTCATGAACCCTTGATAATTTATAAATTACTATTTTTTTCATGTCTTTTCCATATTACTTCTTGACTGGCATCCTCACTAGCAATATTCTTCACTTTAATCTGAGCATCCTTGGCTGTGGAATTATCCTTAATCATCTTTTCACTGTAGGAGTAGGATCCCATTCCTTTACAGGTAGACTATTTAAACAATAGATACTATGTCTTACATATTAGAAATGTAGGCAGCTTCTCTTCTCTGAACGTATTCTGTTAATCTTTGAAAAACTCTTTTTCACTTCTGCTAAACTTAGAGCAATTATTCTGACATTTTTAGGTCTTTGAATACTTTCAGCAATTGCATAATTCACCATAATATCTCGTGGGAATTCGCGGCATAAAACAAAGCTGAAATAAATGACAGCTTGTCACCATCTGTTTGTTTGTCACTTTCTCTCTACATTAATTGTTCATTCACTGAAATAACATATGCAAGGACATAAGAATTCAGGATTTCATTAAAAGTATGATGAGTTTTATGAAATAAATAATCACACTTCAGACAATTATAAATAGTTTCTAGTTTACTTAGCCTTCATCTTGATAGATTAGGAGTTTTTTCTTAAGGATGAGTTATTTTTCAAATTATCTTTCTGATTGTCCACAAAGATGTAATTCTGTTTATTACTGCAAAGCCTCTCCTAAATGCTTTGCTCCAATGGTATTTTATGTTGGGATAATGGATATAGAACAAGGCTGAACTACTAAAAACAACTTAACAGGCAGTTCATACCTGAAGCACAAGGTTAAACTTCTCTGGGTATGTGGTCTCTTTAACGTCCCGATTTTTTGGTAGGATTCATGGTTTGGGTACAGAATCTACATTACAATTAATCATGTATTATATCACTCCAAATATGATGATAAAAGTAAGAGTAAAATTAATTCATTCTGGACTATAGAGTGTAGCCAAAAACGAATGTACTTTTTGAGTCAGTTACTAAAAATATTTAGGAAATTTTGGAAAGAGAATTCAATTCAGGGCTGTTGGTATGCAATCAGGAAGCCTTCTAGCATGTTTTCTGAAATGTCCTGTTACACCAGGAAGCGTGTGCGCATGCACGTGTGTGTGTGTGTGTGTGTGTGTGTGTGTGTTGGCTATTGCTTTAGTTATTTTTGACAAAAGCATTATATATATATATATGGCTAAGTAAAAAAAAAATCCAGGTACTAAGGTTTGAATTCCAGCTGATGTGTTTAAGCATGTCTCTGCAATCAGTAAATGACTGCAGAGTCTCTCAGTAATACACTTGCCTTCAAATATGCAGTCATAAGTGAGATTGCCACTAAACCTACATGGTAGAAGCACGCTCAATCCAAGGATTGTAAATAATTGTGTTAGTCCAGGTAGACTAGAGAAACAAATTTATAGGCATTCATATGTGTATAAGAAAGAGTTTTATATACAAAAGCAGTTGAATATGAGAAAATATCCCAGCCTAGTCCAGATCATGTTCATAAGTGTGATACTAGCCCCTATGTCCGATATCAATGTATAAAGTCCTCTTCAGACTCACGAAACACATGCAATGACGCCGAATGCAGGAAGATCACAGACCAGTAGTGGGAAGTCCTGTAGATCCAGTGGCGTTGTAAGCATCTCAGAGCTGGCAGGGGTCTCCACGTGTCTCCTCCACCTCAGGGCACTAGTGTAGCTCCATGTGTCTTGTCAGCTGCAATGTCTCCCAGGGAGTGAGCCTGTGTCCCACCTCCAGTGAGCTCTTTATCTCTGTGGAGTCTCCCAATGAGGTCATCAAGCTGTGACCTGATTGACAGGCTAGGCTCCACCCCTTCACTCTTAAGTCTTTTAGAAATACTGAGAATGAAAATTTTTGTTCTTTCTCTTTCTTTCCAGGAACCTCATTCTGGAAGCTATTAAAGAGAAAGGAAGCAATCATGTCGATGATTTCCGCTTTCTATAGTGGCAAGTCCATTCTTGTCACGGGGGGCACGGGGTTCATGGGTAAAGTGTTGATGGAGAAGCTGCTTCGCACCAGCCCAGATCTGAAGATCATTTACATCCTTGTGAGACCGAAGGCTGGCCAAACATTACAGCAAAGAGTTTTCCATATCCTAAATAGTAAGGTAAGACTTATGGGGAAAGCGGCATGTAATGGACAAGATGCTCTATTATCCACCCATGTCAGTAGAGTGGGTTCAGACTCACAGGGACCCTGTATTATGAAACTATAAATCTTTATAGGAGTAAAAAGCTTCATCTTTCTCCTGAAGAGTAGATGGTGGGTTTGGACCTCTGATGTGTTCTTTGACTTACTACCCGAACCCAAAAAGAAGGACCATTGAGTCCATTCTGACCCACCGTGACCTCCTAGGACAGAATGAACTACTCCCTAGGATGTCTGAGGCTGTAAATCTTTACAGGAGGAGGCAGCCCCATCTTTCTCCCTCAGAGCACTCCTGGTGGAGGGGAACCCCAGATTTTGTGGGTGGCAGCCCAACACATAACCTACTACACATCAGGGCACCCTTGACTGACTACCTGGTTCCCTGAAAGCCCCAAACCGCAGGAGGGACTGGAATATCCAGGCAGGTGAAAGAGAGGAAACAAAACAAGCTAGAACTTTCCATGTTGCTCATTGGTGTCTGTGGCACTGTCTCATGAGAAGTGAAAAAAAGCCTAAACTCTGTCCAGAGCAAGTGGGGAGATATCTATATCATGCAAATTATCATTCAAAAGCCCAAACACTACAATTCCCGAAGTGGAAAACCCTAAGTTTTAAATCTGTGCCACCAACAACCAACCTACTGCCGGGGAACGGATTCCAAATCATAGCATATAAATTCATTCAAACGATTCTCTGGTTTTCATTATGCCCCATCCAATCTTATATCTTCTTTTATATTTTATTCCATTATGTATAGAACAGATAGGATTGATAAGTAGCTATAAAGTAATACTTTCAATTGTCTACACTCCTCAATGTTTATCTATTTATATTTTATCTGTGGAAACTAGAGATGTATATTATACCATTATATTCATATAATTTTCTAGCTCTTCTAGGGTAAAATCATTGGAAATGACATAGTATACCTGTGAACTACCATATTGCCAACACTGAACTCTCTCTTCTAAAATAAATGAATAATATACATATCCTTTCATGTTTTAGTTAATCATTTGTGTTTAGATCTTTAACACATTGGGGTTCAACTCCTGGCTTATCAATTTGTTATAGGATCCTGAAAAAGCTTAAAAGTACCTCTTAAGCTTCAATTATTCCGCCTTTAAGATTAAAACAATAACAACTACCTCCCAGGATTGCCATAAGAATCGAATGTGGAAATGTAAATGTATGGGTCATAGTGCCCATTGGTATAGGAAGAATTGTTTTAGTTACATGCCATCAAATCCGTTCTGAATCATATCCTCACGGTCATTCTAATGTCCGCTCCCACCAATGCAGCCCTTGTGTCCGTCCAGCTGGCCAAGGGCCTTCCTCTTTCTCTCTGACCTCCTCCAGGGTCTGATCTCTCCTGACAACATGTCCAAGACATCTGACTCTTCACCTTGCCACCCGTGCCTCTAAGGAGCATTCTGGCCATATTTCCCCCAAGACAGACTGGTTTTTGCTTTTGGCAGTCCATAGTACTTTCGATATTCTTTTCCAACCCTGGAATTCAAGTGCATTGCGTTTTCTTTGGTGTTCCTTTGCTCTTTCACATGCATATGTGACCATGGCTTAGGTAAGGTGCACCTCATTCCTCAAAGTCACCTCCTTGCTTTTCAACACTTTCAAGTGACCTTGTGCAGCGGAGGTATCCAATCCAATGTGTCCTTTCATCTCTTGACTGCTGCTTTCACGAGTATTGATTGTAGATCCAAGCAAGAAATCCTGGACAACTTACATCTTGTCTCTGTTTATCAAGATGTTACCTATTGGTTTAGATGTGTGGAATTTGGTCTTCCTTACATGGAGTTGTCATCCAGACTGGAGGCTGCAATGCTTGACCTTCATCAGCCAGGGCTTCAAGTCCTCCTTGCTGTCAGCAACAGGGTTGTGTCACCCGCGCTTTACAGGCTGTTAATAAGCCTTCCTCCAATCTTCCTCCTTCGGAGCAGCTGGCAGCTTTAAAAACTGCCACCAGGGCTCCTGATAGGATTTTAAGTTAGGGCTGGCAAATTAAAATAGGTACTCTTTTTTTTCTTTTCAGTGCAGCCTTGATTCTGGTGTCTAAGAGCATTAGTTTTGAGTGGAGATATGTATATCTGACAGGGAAGCCCATTATTGACCAATCAATAAAACTCATGCTCAAATTTTATGGCTGGATCAGATTTTTATTCAGAATATCATCCAGATAATCATAACACTTTCTCCTTACTCAGCAGTGGGACAAATTATAATAATAAATCTACTAGAAGCTTACTACATAACAGAATGTTCAAAAAGTTTTCATGTCTCCTATCGTTTATCTTTGTAAACAACTGTTTCCACTAAAAACCATGAATATTGCGGTAGATGGGAAATTGGAGCATGAAGTTTTAACTTACACATATCCTATAGCTCGTGTATGAGAGAGTCAGACTACAACCACCTCTCACTGCTCCCTTGCAGAATGTCCATAGAGAATGTCCCTGTCCACTATACAATACGGTCCAGAGAATGAAATGGCGTGGGACCAAAATCTAGGGGAAACTTCCAGATCCTCTCACGACAGTGTTGCCTGGTTATGTATCCCTAATGGATTTTATTTATCTCACAGAGCAAATAGGCCTCTTTACCCTAGTAGCTTTCATGACAGCTTTGCAGGGTTTTAAATACTGTAAATAGTAGGGCAGAGAGTCATGGGGCCAGCACAGTCTTTCCCTCCTGCTTCTTCAGATGCACTGCAAGATCAGGGCATTACAGGGACATTACATTTGCTTTGGAAATGGTAACCTGGAGATGGAGAAATTCCTTAACTGGAATCTGAATCTACGTCTGAGAGGAACACTGTGTGTGTGTTGTTGTTGTTGGTGTTGTTTTATAATTTGTTATGTGATCAATAGCTCTACCTATGGAGCATCTACTTTGTTTCTTATCCCATGCTTATCACATCTGCATTGAGTATTAAAAGAAAACAACAACAACAAAAAAACGAACTTACTGCCATCGAGTCAGTGCTGACTCATAGCAACCCGCTGTGGGTTTCTGGGATTGTCACTGTTCATGGGAGTAGAAAGCCCAGTGTTTCACCCACAGAGCTGCTCGTGCTTTCGAACTGCTGACCATCAGGATCATAGGCCACGATACCACCAGGGCTCCTGGAAATGGGTGTATCTACAGTAAAATTAGGAACTAGTGAACGATTTCAAGTTTAAAGTCAGTGATTTCTTATTTCTGGGGCCGTGGAAGAACAGAGGAATTCCTTTCCTGGCATCAGGGGTTCCTATACATAGCGTAACAACTTGGCACCAGACGGACAAGTGGAAGAAGGAAAGAGGGTGTTCTAGGTACAGCATCCTCTAAAAACTGAAACCCCGGAATTCCTACTAATGTCAAGTACTGTCACACAGAAACGCAAAGACAAAGAAAAGGAAATGTTCCCTTAATTCGATGTTTTGTAGGCAAGTATTTGCTTCTCTTTAACTTGTGGCTTAACACAAGAGACAATTCTATTTGTGGAACTGGTTACCTATAGGTTGGAGGCAGGAGAGAAACAGTACAAACCGGTTTCTGAGAAAACCCAGCAGAAGGAGAACATGACAAAGATAAATTGTTTGCTTTCAAGAAACCCTTAGTGCACGACTTCTCTAGCCAGAAAAAGAGCATTATTTCTGCTTGATATTTGACAGCAAAAAGCAGTTATTCAACTCTTGAGCCTCTCAGTCTTACAGCATTAAATATAGAATATATACATTTATGCAGTGAGAAGGAATATAGTAGGTTCTTAAAATCAGAAACAATTCTATTAAGTTCTTTACTGGTTGAAATTTAATAACATTTTTGAAAGTACAGTGAAACTGTGAGACCCAGATTGCCTTGCAAGTTTTCTTCTTTCCCCAGTACACCAATTTTCTATGGCTTATTTCAGTAGAAAATATTTGTGCTTTCCTCCTCTGACCAATTTCTGCTTCACACAGGTTCTGGCTTAAGGAGATTTACACACACACACACACACATATTATTTGATCTTATTTCATTTATTTTCTCTTTACATTTAATGAATGGATCACATTAACAAAGAACACCTTCAGGAAACTTATTTTCTAACCAGGATGCATTTGCTTATTTCATTTTGTCTCCTGGTTAGTCCTAGAAGAGGGTCTGCCCTGGTGCCCCAGTTCACCTTGGCAGTTGATACAAATGATACAGGAGCACTTAGTGTCTCCTTTTAGCCATATCCATCTGCTGGTGGGGTAGTGGTCAAGGCCAGCGGTTCAAAGCTACTAGCTACCCCTCAGGAGAAAGATGACACTGTCTACTCCCATAGAGTTACAGTCTCCCCACAGGGAGCGTTCTGTCCTGTCGTCCTCCTGTAGGCTCGCCATGAGTTAGAACGGACTTGAGGGTAGTAAGTTAGGGTTGACCCGCTCGCTTACAGCGCACTTACACACAATTTCAGGAAATAAGCTCCTGCTTATGATTCTATTGCCGTTCTTGCAGGACTTCATTTCAATTCAACACAACTTCCTTTTCAAGAAAGTAAGTGCTGTCAAGCATGAAGAAATGAACCGGGGTCTATGAATTCCCAATCTTCTAGGAGAGAATTTAAGGCCTGACTTTAAGAATGGACAGGAATCTTCAGTCAGAATCTTCCGTTAGTGCTTCTCCAAGCATCGTCCCGAGACCACCTATATCACTCTCCTGGGCAGCTGATGAACAAATACACTTTCTTGAATTCCACATCCAATCTCCTTAGACAGGCTCTCTGAAGGTAGAGGTGGCAATAAATGATAACTAGGTTCTCAGGTTATTCTTTGGCCCATTCGGTTTGAAAACCACTGCTGTGGAGAATGGCCTGGGCAGTTATAAAAGGAGATGAGTCATAAGCCATGGCTCATCCCCAGTTGTTCCTGTTAATTGACCTCCTACTAGGGAAATTCTCTTCTTTGTGACAAAATCAACTGGAGAGTAAAATGTCTATGCGAACTCCAGAGTATGCCCCAGGAATTTCTTATTTAGTTGATTTGGAAAGGGGCTAGGAATCCACATTTTTAACATGCATACTGGTGGTTCCAATACAAGTTCCTTTGTGACTAACCTTAGAAAACCCCAACCCAGTTGCAATGATGTCAGTTCTGATGTACGGGACCCTGTGTGCATCGCAGTAGACCTGCACTCCATAGCCCTTCTGTGGCTGACTTTTCAGAACCAAGTCACCAGGACTTTCTTCTGAGGTCTTGCTGGATGGACATTAAACCACGAACTTTCAAGTTAACAGTCAAACTGCCAAAGGGGCTCTAAAATGTCTGTAGAAATTTTGTCCTTTATCTTTTATTTTCATTTTTTCTATGAATGTTTTGAAACCCCATCATATTTAACTATTTGCATCACCAAGGGACTTCAAATGCTTTGAAAAGTCCTGCTCAAAAAAATCATTGGCTTTTTGGATGGCTGTGACATCCTATTTAGGATATGACAGCATTTAAAGATTTTAATTTTGCTGGAAACTATAGTGGTGTGGTTGAAATTCCTGGTGAGCTATCTTATTATCACAATGAACAACTTGTTAAGCCAACATTAGTAGAGGAAAATGAGACTGGCATTTCATGCTGTGGTTTTTATAAGGCAAATCAATTAATTGATTGATTACAGCTGAACATAATGAACTACTATCTGAATCAGAAACCTCAGACTTCATTTAACTGCACTATGTGTGTGTGCACCTGCATGACACCCTCTACCATATACGTCTATAAATACAATACAGGTTAGACGTTTTCTCAGAATATAGTGAAAATGTGGTGGGTTGGGGGACTCCAGTATTGCCCAGGTGTCTGAAATATCATACAGTGTCCTCTAATTTTTAAAAGGCCAAAAAAATCAAGGCCTAAGAAAATGTACAAATGGTAGCTTACATAATGCGTGAGAAACCCTATTGCTGAGAGAGTGGAGACTGAAGTCTTCGCCCTTCTGGCCTTCCAGTTCGCCAGTGTCATTACAGGTCAAAGTCGAAGATCCATTGAACCCTAAGTAAATGTCCGGCCAGTATAACTTACCAAGAAGGCTCAATATATAAGCTACTACATACTAAATTACTTTTTAAAAGAGTGAAACTTGTTTACATTTTAGGTAAACTTACCCCAAATCTGACACATTTGTACAATTGATATAAACTAAAAGGAAGGCATTAGCTGTGAAATCAAATATTTAGCATTCGATGATCATGAGATCAGAAGAGCTACTCTGTAGAATGTCCTGGATTTGGAGCGGCTGACTCTTCAACCTTATCAATTCAAAATGCCAAAGAAAGCACTGAGAAGTGACCTAACTTCTGAATTATTTTCAGAATTGTAATAGCACCTCACCTGGCTGCTCAACCCCACCCACTTCTGAGAAAGCCGACCTGACAGTGCAGCGAAGTGGTAACGCAGGGGCAGAAGTACGTACCCTTGCCGGCCAAGATGCGGACTTAAGTCCTTTCTTCACTCTTCTTCACTGAATTCCCAGAATGGCCCTGAACATGGTCTTGCCTGATACAAATGAGATATGATTTCTCTGGCTTTCTGAGAACAACTTCTCATTACTCCGTCAAAAAAAAAATTCTGGAGTAGATGTTCATCAGGTGAACATGCTCTTGTCTAGGGGTGCCTGGGAGTCTATCTGTGCTACTGTATTAAAATATAAGATCATAGACTAATTTTTCGGCTCTTAAATAGAAGGTCCCAAGTGGTGCAGTCTATTAAGCAATCAGCTGCTAATTGAAAGGTCGGCAGTTTGAAGTCACCATCCGCTCTGCAGGAGAAACATGAGGAAGGCATTAGCTGTGAAATCAAATATTTAGCATTTGATTTCGTAATGCTGACCATCTTTAAAAGCATATAGTGAAGCTCTACACGGTCCGATCGGATTGTATGAATCGGAATTCGCTCAGTGTCAGAGGTAACTTCCTAGACATTCAGCGGGACTTATCTTGTCCTCTCTGCCAACATACTGGGCGGATCAGAGAGTAAAATTCAATGTCATTACAGTAATTTGAAATGGAGGTAATTTTATTAAAATTCTTTTGTTCTGAGAAAATGGAAGATACCAGTTTAATCTAAGAATTTCTGTGTTTGGGGACCTAAAAAGAATATGTTCTATTTCAGACATTGTAATAAATGCTTAAACTCCCAGTGTTCTTCCCTTTGTCCTTTATAAATGAGAATATTAAAAAAACCAAACAATTCACATCCCATGAAAAGTGTATGAGCTCATGTCATCTTCTTACTAGCCAATAAATTCCATTTATATTAGAATGGGGTTGCTTAATTTTTTTCAGTTTGCTTCAACTCTTACAGATTGGATTACTATGCTATTTTTCAAGTAAGTCTGTGTGCTGGTTA